GGGAGCGTAAAGGGTGGGCGTGGGCATAAGGGGTGAGCGTATGGGGCGGAAAGGTGGGGGGGGTATCAAATCCTTTAGTTTCGTTTTCGTAAAAGTTAAAAGGAAATTGCAACACAATAAGCTCATATAAGGGCCGAAGATTAGAGGTATTACAAGAGAGTAACAAACCCAATAAAGAAGGAGGAGGAGAGATAAGGACCATAGGTGTTTAATAGGAAAGAAGGAGCAGACCGCACCAGAGCACCCGCCAACCACCAACACTTTCGACTCACTTGCACGAGGTAGTAGATGAGCATGATGGGCATGGCGGCGCCGATGAAGACAGGGGTCGTGTAGGTGATCACCACGAGCACACTGAGAACCGTGAACAGCTGCTGGAAGAACATGCGCACGAGGCGGGCCATCGAGCTGTCAATCATGTCCACGTCACGCGAGAAGCGGTTGATGACCCGCCCCAGGGGCGTGGTGTCGAAGAACTTCATGGGCTGGCGCAGAATGTTCTCCAGCAGGGCGTCGTGAAGACGCTTGGAGGCCACCACCATGCGCAGACTGATGTTGCCCACAAAGGCCAGGGCGCACACGGCTGGGGAGACAGAGGCGATAGGGTGTTGAGTGTGTGTGTGTCTGTTTGTGTGTCTGTGTGCCTGTGTTTCTGACAATATATATGTCTGTCTGTACGTCTGTGTGTGTGTCTTGTGTCTGCCTGTCTTTCTTTCTTCCTTTCTGTCAGTGTCTGTGTGTCTGTGTGTGTGTCTATGTGTCAGTCTGTGTGTCAGTGTGTCTGTCTCTGTCTGTGTGTCTGTGTGTCTGGGTTTTTGTTTGTTTGTCTGTTTGTGTGTCAGTCGGTCTGTCTCTCTGTCTGTCTTTCTGTTTGTGTGTCTGTGCAGACTGATGCTGTTGCCCACAAACGCCAGGGTGCACACGGCTGGGGAGACAGAAGCGACGGTGTTGAGGTTCCGCACATTATCTGTCTCTATCTGTCTGTGTGTCTGTGTTTCTGACAATATGTCTGTTTGTCTGTCTTTCTGTCTGTGTCTGTGTGTCAGTGTGACTGTGTGTGGAGGCCACCACCATGCGCAGACTGATGTTGCCCACGAATGCCACGGCACACACGGCTGGGGGAGACAGAGGCGAGGGTGTTGAGTGTGTGTGTCTGTTTGTCTGTGTGTGTGTGTGTGTGTGTGTGTGTGTGTGTGTGTGTGTGTGTGTGTGTGTGTGTGTGTGTCTGTGTCAGTCAGTCTGCCTGTCTGTGGGGTT